GGCAATGTCCCAGGCAAACAGTTGGAATTTTAATGCTAAAAAGAAGCTTTGAGATAATAGCTTCAATTATTGAGTGCTTATTATGTGCTGGGTGCTATTTTAAGTGTTCTGCATATTTATACAATGACACAAGAAGTCCACACTGCTGTTCTCAGTTGCACATTTAACTTGCCAAAGGCATCCAACCAATAAATAATAGAGCCAGGATTTGAACCCAGTAGTTTGGCCCTAAAGCCTGCGCTCTTCCACAACTCACCATAGCAAAGTCTTACAATTTGAGGTACTTCTTGTGGGTTGCAAATAAGTTAACTGAGTCAAAATAGATTTAGTATTCATAGGCTGGAGTATCATTTAATGATGCCTTAGCTCTTAAGAAACCTACTCGCCACATCAGAATTGTAAAAATATACTGCTCTGACCATAGATATCTCTATCTCCCCCCTCAGACTGAGGTGGATGGGAGATTCAGGTATCCAAGGCCAAAGGGACTGGTGTGATCCATTCTGGTACAACAGACAAGAGCTAGTACCTTCCCCTTCACCCTTAGATCTTCCCAGAATGGGCCAGAGGGTATGTGTTATCTGTCTGCCATTTCTGACCCTTCCCTCACCAACACCCATCCCCCAAACGGATGGATAAACAAATAACAAAATCCTGGTGACTCTGACTAGCCCAGGGCTCCTGATACTTCATAAAAATGTGTAGCTTTGTCAGTTGCTTCATAAGTGCTCAGCACCTGTCTATGGAAAGAACTTTTCCCTCCTTTAATCGGTAGCAAAGTACCAAAGTGCAGGGCTTCCCTTACAGTAATATCCCCTAGGCTTTCATTTCTGGACAGCCAGCTGGAGGTGAAATTCCCCAAGGGAGTTTGCCCTTCTAAAGGACCAGTGCTGAGCAGGAATTTCTTCTGTGTGTCCAGAGGCCTTCCTCCAGTCCAAGCTCATCTGGAAGCAGAATCATTCTTCTTTAAAATCTACCTCTAACTCCCACAGGGAAGAAGCAGCCTCTGAGCTGAGAAACCAGCGGCTCAAGGGCTCCACCATGAGGAAGTCCAGAAATGAGACCTCTGGCAAAACACTGCCATGATCTTCCAGAGCAGGAAGATCTACCACCACCTGCAAAAAGTCAAAGGTGGAGATGGGGAACAGGAGGTCAATGGAGCAGACAGGTCAGTTTTATAGCAAGAAAGGAGATTTGGCACCATGTGCCCCCCCCCCCATTCCACCCAGTCACTTCTGCTTCCCTTGACCTCAGAGAAGACTGGGGGCCACAGCAGCCTCCTTTGCCTTTTCCCAGATCCATGCAGGATAGGTGGGGGCTGGCAACTCTGAGCTCCACCTTGGTAGCAGCTGGCAAGATCCTTTTTTTCTTTTTTTAAGATTTTATTTATTTATTCATGAGAGACACAGAGGCAGAGAGAGAAGCAGGCTCCTCGCAGGGAGCCTGATGTGGGACTCGATCCTAGGACCCCAGGATCATTCCCTGGGCCAAAGGCAGACGCTCAATCGCTGAGCCACCCAGGCATCCCAGCTGGCAAGATCCTGAAGCTATTCTTCCCTCATAGAGAATGAGATGGACTTAGCTTTACTAAATTCCCATCAGCCCTGCCCACCAAATCCCACACTGATTGTACCAGGGCTGCCTGCCAGCTGCCAGTAAGAATGCGGTGGTGTCTGACCTTTGCCTCTATGGGCTTCTCTCTCCTAGAGCCTGAGGAGCACCTGCAGCTGCAGACTCTCACCTCAGGCCAAACAGCCCTCTGTGGTGGTTTGGGATCCATGACCCCTGGGATCCGGGACTCCACTCATCAGAGCGGCAGTGATGTCTTGATGGGGAGGTTCTAGGGAAAGCATGAACTTTGGTATCAAGCATAACTGGGACAGAAGTCTGGCTTTATCTGTATCACTATAAGCAAGAGAGCCAGGTGTGCCTCTATTATCTGGTGCACCTGGTCCCCAGAGTCCACTCCAGGAGCAAACTTGGGGCTCTCAGCTCTTTGACTAATACACACCTGAACACCCAGGTTCTTTCCAATCACTTTTTGGATCCAGGAGTCAATTTTTGTTTTACCTAGGGTCCTTTCACTTGCAAATCAGGACACTTAAACTGTTTTAGGCCCAAAGTAGGCATTTATTACTTTGATAATGTAAAGTTGCACAGAATAGGGATAATGAAAAGTTCACAGTTGAGGGGGATAGAACTAGGGTATTTTCTCGAGCTTGGTCATTAGAATAATGACATTCCTTTAGTTCCATCTAGAAACAACTTAGGTAAGGACCTGGCCCCACCTGGATCACATGACTAACCCCGGGCCCAGATAGTGTGTTAGTGCTGACAGTCCTGAGAGAACCACATGGTGAGAGTGGGAACAGCAGCTTCCACAAATAAGTGGCTCTTATTCCCAGAAGAAGGGACGGCAAAGCAGATAATATCCTTGATCACTCTTTGATTGCAATGACTCCACAGAACAGAAATCGTGCATAGACATTGGTATATTGAATTCTAGTGCCAGCTTCTTAGGTTCCAGATTTAGGAGTCCTCTAATGGTCAGATTTTTCTGCTGGGTGAGAATATATCTTGTAGGGCCACAGAGAAAAAAACAGATGATAAAAGCACCTTCTTGGGGAGTAAGGTTGTAGCAGAAGGTGGAGACAGTGTAGAAAAGTCAATGATGGAGAACGGAGAACAAGTTTACCAGGAAAATGTACTAAAATTATAGACAGTGCAGAGGTAGGTTCTATAAACTAAATGCTATAACCAAAATTCATGTTGAAACCAATTCCCAGGGTAATGATGTATGAAGGTGCGGCCTGTGTGAGGTGATTGGATCATGAATGGGATTAGTGCCCTTATAAAATTTTATTCATTTAAGAGAGAGAGTGGACAAGTGGGGGAGAGAGGCAGAGGGAGAAACAGACTCCCTCCCCACGGAGCAGGGAGCCTGATGATGACACACAGGGCTCAATCCCAGGACCCTGAGATCATGACCTAAGCCAAAGTCAGACACTTAACCAGTTGAGCCACCCAGAAGCCCTGGGATAAGTGCCTTTATAAAAGAGACTTCAGAGAACTCTCTCACCCTTCCTCTATCTGAGGACATGGTGGGTGGACAGTGGTCTACGAATCAGGAAGCAAGAATCACCAGACACTAATTCTGGTGCACCTATATCATGGACTTCCCAGCCTCCGGAATGGTGAGAAATAAATGCCTTGTTTCAGCCACCCAAGCTATGGTAGTTTTTAATAGCTGCCCCAATGGACTAAGACAGTAAGTCACCATGGATTTATAGTGAATGGATCCAATTAGTCTTATATGCTTTTTTTCTCTAGCAGCATTTGGTTGCTAGAGGGCAAATATGGAAAAAACTGTCATGTTTGTACCAAGGTGGGGAAATTTCCTTGATTTTTCTATGTATGATAGAAATGCAGATGAGGACAGAGTTCAAAGTACTGGTAAAGAATGTTAGAACTAGTCATATGATGGACTGTGGAGTCTCAGCTGGATGTAAAGAAACATGGAGAAAGTCTCCTGGATTTGGGTGAAGGTAGATGAGGGAGAGGACTGGGGATCCCATTTATGTCAAGGAACAGTGTGGGGGGAGGGAGAGAAAATTGAACAAAGTAATACCAATATCTATTTATCTGTATATACAAATAGAAAATATATACATTTTTTGATTAGGGTAGCCCCTGCACTTATAAAGACATACTCTTAAAAAGGACACACACACACAATGATGTAGCTATGATATAGTTTACTTCAACACAATAAACCAAAAAAGACAGCTATTTCTTTGGAAAAAAAAACAAAACAAAACACCCAATTCTAAATAGGCAGGTTTGGCTTGATTGACCATAATGTGTTTTAGCAAAAAGACTTAGGTACACTACATCTAATAAAGCTTCTCTATATACATAGCAGATACCAAGTAACTTTGCTAACTTACCATATATTTGAAAAAATCAAAACATATTCATAAGAGTCAAATGCAAACAAAACAAAACAAAACAAAAAGAGTCAAATGCATGTTAACAATCTTGTGAAGTACAAAAAAAAAATCACTCTTTATCCTTCCATTTTCACCTATATTTTTCTTAACAGAATTAAGCCCCATATTTGAAGGCTTAAATCCTTTCTTCCCAAGGCCCTAGGAATACCAAGTTTTAAAAAACAACAACAACAAAAAAAAAGGAATACCAAGTTTTCCTTCAAACTTGTAATTGTCTAAAAAGGAGGTTATTTAAATGGTAGGAGAAACAAAGATACACATATTTCACTTCTGTGCCATTCATACAGATTCTGCTGAAGAAGAGTTCCTGGGTTGGCTGCCAATTCACTCAATTTAGCTGAAAAACAATATTGATTATAGTACTAAACTGGCTTTCATGCATCCCATAAGCAGATTTCTTTACCACTGAAAATCAATTAGTGACATTTAGCTCTTAGCTTAATCTGTACAAATGCAATTTGGGAACTCCATGACACTGATGTTAGCATATTTAAATGTAAAATCCAAATTTCTAAATATTAAGTAATGTATTTTTAAATATGCAAATTGCTTTCTCAATACAATTGACCCTTGAACAACATGGGTTTGACCTGCACAGATCCACTTATGTGAGGATTTGTTTCAATAGAGGTCAGAACTGTAAATGTATTTCCTCTTTCTTATGATTTTAATAACATTTTTTCTTCAGCTTCCTTTACTATAAAATACAGTACATAATATATGTAACACACAAAATATGTGTTAATCAACTGCTGTGTTACTGGTAAGGCTTGTGGTCAACAGTAGGCTATTTGTAGTTAAGTTTTGGGGGAGTCAAAAGCTATATGTAAATTTCAACTGTGCAGGGTGGCTGGTGCCCCTAACTCGCGCACTGTTCAAGGCTCAACTCTAATCACTTTTCTATGAATAAAAAATAAAATGGCAAAAGAAACAGAAAAATTTGATGTTCCAAAACAAGACAACTAAGACATGACTCAAGTAAGCTTATATGTAAAAAAAAATTGTTTATTATCATACATAATTGAACAACAAAACAGCCTTGTCTGAAAGCACTGGATCAAACTATCTTCCCAAGTCTTTCCAAGTCATGATTCTACATATTACAATGAAATATTTTTAATAAGTGCAATCTGTCATGAACTACAAGTTTTTATATTATTCCTAAATAATGAACTTAACTTTAACTACTATAGCAATCAATGATTTAAATACATGTGCTGTTAAAAAAGAAGTTACAAACATACTCTGAATTTTTTATCTGTAAGATAATATTAAAAAGAGATTCCACAACCACTTCATTCCTTAAGAACTAAGAAGCAAAATACTGAACATAATAAATAAATACAGAACCTAGAGTCCTAGAAAAGGATATAGAACACCGAATATAATAACCCAGTGTATTAAAAATCCAGTATCAGTATTAAAACTTCTTCATCTCAATACTACATTTATTGCTACTATAAATAAGCTGTATATTAAGGCACCTGTCATTACCTATGAAAAAGATCTGGATTCACAACAAAGGAAATATGCACTGAAAACTTTTTTCTTTCATTCTGGTATCATTACAGATATTATCAATATTAAATGTTCAGTTTTTGTATAGAAGTAGACACATCTTTAGAACATACTACCTGAATATAGTTAAATATTTTATATAACACCTTAAAGTAAGAAAAAAGAATTCTACTGTCATAGATATGTACTCCTGTCTACTGCAATGATATGAGCAGATCTTGGCCAAGTCATTTAACTTCTCTCAGCCTCACTCTCTCCCATCAGTAAAATGTCAATACTAACTGCTCTGTCAAGTTCCTAAGGCTGTTGTGGGATCTTCTGAGTGGATGTAAAAACAGCTGGCCAAATGTGCAGCACTGAACGAGCTGAACAAATAATCGGCATTGTGATGGGCTGAGATATATCAGGTTTCTGGCATCCTCCCTAACAAAGTTATGACCTGCTCCTTTTGCACGCACTTGAGAACTCCCAGTTTTTGTTAATTAGATCATTGCTGAATGAATGGAGCAAAAATTTATGCAAAGTGAAAATCTCTAAATTCTAGGTTGCAGAATTTTATAAGATAGTTTGCTGTTAAGTAGGGAAACCACACTTTGGGAGTTTGTGTTACCTCTGAACTCTTCCTTTTTTTTTTTTTAATTTTTATTTATTTGTGATAGTCACACAGAGAGAGAGAGAGAGGCAGAGACATAGGCAGAGGGAGAAGCAGGCTCCATGCACCAGGAGCCCGACGTGGGATTCGATCCCAGGTCTCCAGGATCGCGCCCTGGGCCAAAGGCAGGCGCCAAATCACTGCGCCACCCAGGGATCCCCTCTGGACTCTTCCTAATGATAAAGATGGGCTCCCGGCCTTTCCTCAGTCTCCTCTGCAGAGACCTTTGTCTCCCTCACCATCTGCTATTGTACATGAGGCATAGTCCATTATTAGGACTGTTAAACCTTGTAGCAGCATAAAAGAGTTTGAAGAATATTAAAGCAGCACCACAAAGGTCAGTCTTGGGTACATTACTCAGCTTGGCACAAATATGAATGGTTCTGTAATCCCCACCGGGTTTCCTTAACTTAGTCTGCAACTCCTTCCTCTGAGTACAAAATGGTTCTAGGCCAGCTTTTTCCAAACTATGTTCTGAGCAATACCAGTTAGGTGAGATGTTAATTGGTGAAAAACAGATTTGTATTAAGTCTGGGATATGCAGGGGGAAATAAGCTTACGTATTGCATAATTTCTCTTTGATGTACTGACTATACATTCTAAAGAGAAAGGGAAGATAAACATTTCCCAGATTCTTCTGACCACAGAATCCCTTTTTTTTTCCCCCTCCCACAAAATATCTAGAGGGGCTAACAACTCTTCATATACTCTTTGGGAAATGCTATCCTAGCTAATTCACTTGGGCTTTAAATATTTCAGGGCTACATCTGGCAATAGTGATGATTTTGATTTCTAAAGGAGGAGAATCATTTTGCTTACAAGGTCAACTACCAGGATGGCCTCCTGAATTCCACTTCATAAGTACCCTCCCCAAAGCAACTAAGAACTAAATTTCCATTACTACATGCTGAGGAATTTAAAGAAATTATTCTCAAGTTAATGAGAATTATAATCTTTTAAATGAAATCTTTATATTCTCCCTCAAACATTAAAAATACAAAGATCTAATTCTAGATCTAAGGACCTAGAATCGCAATTACTTTGAGGACAGTGGGGCATTTTATCACATCACCATAATTAACACTATTAATAAGTAGTAGTAGTAGGGGTGGTGGTGGTGGTAATATTGGTAATTTTGCGGCTTAATCTTCATATCCATGTGATAAATTTAGGACCTACTATTATACTCATTTTAAAGATACTTACACTGAGATTTAGAAATTTGACTGACTTGCCAAGAATCACACAAGTAGTAAAGGCAGAATGTCCAACTTATAACTGACCCCTCATATCATGCTCTTAACTGCTACATAATATCATCTTATATTTTAGTGATGAAACAAAAGAATTACAGTGTATTTATATAAATCCAACATGATTGAAATTTGGTTTTAGATTTCCTCTTGAGTAAACTTCTATTCCCTAAGGAGGTGCTTTACGTGTTTTTTTGTTTTTTAAGCAAAGAAAAACAGTTATTTACCAGTGATAGGTTTATATACACAAAGGGTTTTAAAAATCTGCATCCAAGGTGAAGACATTATCTGTAGTTTCTGTCATAACCGCAAAACGTTGATACTCTGCAACTCGTTTCTCAAAGAAATTAGTTTTCCCTTCTAAAGAAATGTTTTCCATAAAATCAAAGGGATTTTCTGCCTGGAAAACCTAAAAAGAAAAGAAATGTCATTTGACATTCTGAAGAAGCCAAATTAAACCCACAAGAAAAACATAACTAACAAGCTCAGGTCTCCTAACACCTGTCTAGTCACCTATAGGATCCATTATTCCAGAAGGTCCTAGAGGTACTCAGGGCTGATAAATTCTAAGACAACTGAGATCATCTACTAACCTCCTTAAGAAATTATACTAGCATCTCTGGTATTCTAAGAAGTAGAAAGAAAACATATATTATTGCAGGAAGTGAAAGATTTAACACCAAACTAAAATATTTTTGCAGCTTGAGAGATCCAATACATCATAGATACTGCAGACCTTTTCACAGGTATAACCAATAGATGGATACATACTATCCACAGATGTTTCCAAACAAAATGTGGAACCTATGTTGACAAGAAGCTTTTTTATTGCTTCTGAATACAAGAAGCAGACATGGTGATAAAGCTTGATAGAAAATCATGAAATATTTCAATGATCCATGAGGAGCAATAAAATAGGATTTTTGAATTTAGGAGTATTCCAGCAGGGATTATGAACACAACAGACAAGAATATATTAAAATAACCCAAATTAGAAATGAGCAAAGGGTCTGAATAGACAAATACATATTTCTCTAAACAAGGCATACAAAGGCCAAGAAGCACATGAAAAAATGCTCAAAATCATTACTCAATAATGAGATGCAAATCAAGACCACAACGAGATACTATTTCAAACTCACTAGAATGGCTATAATAAAAAAGACCACAAGTGTTGGTGAAAATGTGAAGAAACTAAAACCCTCATACACGGCTGAATGTAAAATGGTGCAGTTGCTTTGAAAAATCACCTGGCATTTTCTCTAATAATTAACAATAGTTACTATATGACCCAGCAATTTCACTTGTAGTTATATTTCCAAAAGAAATGGAAACATCTGTCCACACAAAAACTTATAAGTGAATGTTCATATTAGCATTATTCAAAAGAGCCAAAAAGTGGAAACTACTGAAAATGCCCATCAAATGATAAATGGATAAAATTTGGTATAATCAAGCAATGGAATATTATTCAACTATAAAAAGGAATAAAGTACTGATAAATACTATTCAGCTATAAAAAGGAATAAAGTACTGCTACAACATGAATGAACCCTGAAAACTTCCACTATGGAAAGAAGCCAGCCACAAAAATCCATACACTGTATGATTCCATTTATATGAAATGGGATATATAGAATAGGCAAATCTAAAGAGACAGAAATTAGATTAGCAGTGCCTAGTGCTGAGGTGGGGGTGGGAGAAAGAAAGGAAAGTGATTGCTAATAGGTATAGAGTTTCTTTGTGGGGTGCTAAAAATATTCTAAAACAGATCGTTGTGATAGTTGTACAACTCTGTGAATATACTAAAAACTACTGAATTGTACGTTTGTTAATAGGCAAATTGCATGTTCTAACTTATGCCTTAATAAAGCTTAATATATTAATAAAATACATAGTAAACATACATACATATGTAAATACACATATTTACATAGTAAAATACATATATATACACACACACATATATATAATGTTTCAACAAAAGATTATATGCTGTGTGTGGTTGAATCATAGAATTCAGTGACATTGCCTGTCAGAGTGGAAATTTGAACTAGAAGGATATAGTGGAAAAAGCACTGAACCAATCATCTTTTAAAAAAAAAATTTGATCTATTTATTCATGAGAGACACAGAGAGAGAAGCAATGACACAGGCAGAGGGAGAAGCAGGCTCCCTGCAGGGAGCCCGATGTGGGACTTGATCCCAGAACCCCAGGATCTCACCCTGAGCTGAGGCAGATGCTCAACCACTGAGCCACCCCGGCACCCTTGAACCAATCATTATAGCTTCACTGGATTTTAAAAACAGAGGCCTTCCAAAAAATCTGATTTAAATCATCCATGGCATGAGCAAGGTAACTAAGACCAGATTAAATTAAGTGCTTGTATTTTTCACATAACTTGTATAATCCTAAAATTTGTATGGAATCACAAAAGGCCCCAAATATCTAAAGCAATCTTGAGAAAGAAAAACAAAGCTAGAAGTATCACAATCTCAGAATTCAAGATATACTAGAAAGCTATAGTAATCAAAACAATATGGTACTAGTACAAAAAAAAAAAAAAACAAATACACTGATTCATAATACAGGAATGAGAGATAAGAAATAAACCCATGTTTATATGCTCAGTCTAAGACAAAAGAGGCAAGACTACACCATGAGGAAAGGATAGTCTTTCAATTAATGGTGCTGGGAAAATTGGACAGCTGCATGCAAAAGAATGAAACTAAACTACTTTCCTTCACCATACACAAAAATAAACTCAAAATGGATGAAAGACCTAAATATGAAACCATAAAACTCCCTAAAAAAAAAAAAAAAAGGCAGTAATGTCTTAGAAATTGGCCTTTAGCAACATATATATGTCTCCTTAGGCAAGGGAAACAAAAGCAAAAATAAACTATCATGACTACAGCAGAGGAGACCATCAACAAAGCAAAAAGGCAACCTACAGAATGAGAGAAAATATTTGCAAATATTTTATATATGTGATAATCCAGTAAGAAGTTAGTATACAAAATATGTGAAGAATGTACACAAGTCAATAACAAAACAACGTATCACCTGGTTGAAAAAATGGGCTGAAGGGGAAAAAATGGGCAGAGAAGCTAAATAGAGACTTTTCCAAAGAAGATATCAGATGACCAACCAACACATGAAAAAATGTTCAACATCACTAATTATCAAGGAAATGCAGAACAAAACCACAATGAGATATCATCTCACACATGTCAGAATATCTAGTACTAAAAAGACAAGAAATAACAAGCTCTGGTGAGGATGTGGAGAAAAAAAGAACCCTCACGCACTGTTGCTGGAAAATGTAAGTTGGTGTGGCCACTGTGGAAAACCATATGGAGGTTCCTCAAAAACTTAAAAACAGAAATACCATATAATCCCATAATTCTACTACTGAGTATCCAAAGAAAACAAAAACAGAAATTTGAAAAGATACATGCACCCTTATGTTCTTTGCAGCATTATATACAGCAGCAATAGATGTGTGAATTGATCTCAAGCATTCATCAATAGATGAACAGATAAAGATGTAATATGTATGTACACACACACACTGAAATACTACTCAGCATAAAAAAGAATGAGATCTTGCAATTTATGACAACATGGATGCACCTAGAGGGAATCATCATAAGTGGAATAAGTCAGAGAAAGACAAATACCATATGATTTCACCTCTATGTGGAATTTTAAAAAATAAAACATATGAACAAACAAAAAAAACATAAACAGGCTCATAAACACAGAGAACAAATTGGTGATGACCAGAGGGGAGGAGGTTGAGGATGGGCCAAATATATGAAGGGAATTACAGGTACAAACTTATAGTTATAAAATAAATCAGTCCTGGAGATGAAAAATACAGCATAGGAAATATAATCAATAACATTGTAATAACATTGTATGGTGACAGGGTGGTGACTACACTTATCATGGTGAACACTGAATAATGTATAGAATTGTCAAGTCAGTTGCACACCTGAAACTAGTATCACATTGTATGCCAACTACATTTCAATAATACCAAAAAATAAAGTGGCTTATTTTTGACACATGAAAATACTCAAATATTTGTTGACTAATCCCAAACTAAAAAAGAAGTAGAAAACATCATTAATGTGGCTCCTACTTAGAATTCTGTATAAATGACAACCATTTGCTAATTTAAGTAATCTCTTATTTTATCAAAAACTATCCTTATAAGAACCATTCTTTTTCTAGCTCCTTGAGTTCAAAGTGCAGTTTATGTCTGTTAAACTGTCTTGTTTTTTTAAACTAGGTTTAAAAGGGCTAGGTTTTCCTTTGAGAACCTAGCTGGCTGCATTCCACAAGTTTTGATATATATAATAATCCTATTGTTAATTTAGTTCATATTCTATTACTTTATATTTTCACTCTAGTCTCATTTTAAGATAGCTTCTCAATTCCTAAGTAGACGGAACTTCTGGCAATCTTTCATCATTAATTTCTAATTTTACTGCATTAAAATCTAAAGGGTCTGTATAATTTCTGCTTTTTTGGAATTTATTGACATGTTGAAGGCTTGTGGAACAATGATGTTTCATACTATGTTTAGATTTTCTTCTATAGGCAGGATGTTTTATAGATCTACAGTGAACAAGTTCCCAAAGGGAAAACTATACTGAGGAGTCCACAGTTTTTCAATAAGCAGAAGAACATGGATGTACCAGTGTGAGAATATGGTGGTAGGTTAAAGGACAGTGAGTTCCCTTTAAGGTTCAACTGAGCAAATTAATTTTCCTGTAACAAACATATTAGTATAACAAACACAATTTTTAAAAATATACAGTTTATAAATTTAAGAGATCATAGTAATACAGTTGTAATCTTGATTTATCCATTATCAGTAAACACAGAGGATTTTATAACTAAAATAATAAAATATAGTTCATCTTACAAAAAACCTTTGCCCTATCTGACTTTTTCATGATAGTATTTCTGTGGTCACCAGAATATAAATGCATTACTGAGAAAGGAAATGATTACTCCAGCATCATGAATTTCATAAGGCTTCTCATTAAGTACAATTTAAACTTACATTTCCATGCTCAGAAGTTAAAACCTATAATTTCTAATTACCATCATATACACAGTACACAGTAATGTTCTATGAATGTTCCACTTACAGTGAATACAACATGACCACTTAGTGTGCATTTACTGTATGTCTGATACTATTTGAAGTGCTTTAAGTACACCAACTCATCAATAATCCTTTGTGATAAGTAGTATTATTATCATCTCCCTTTCATGGATGAGGAAATGGGGATAAGAGGTTAAGAAACTTGCTTAAGAAACTTGCTCATCTTGTTAGAAAGTAGCAGAACCAGGATTCAAACTCAGGTAGACTGGCTGGAGCCTACATCTGTTATGTGAGAAACACATCTCTTTATGAAACTCAGGTATATTATCTCTGAGAAACAAAATTAAAAATAAAAGACAACTGAGTTTAAAGGGTCAAATTATGACAGTTAATATCTTCTTAATAACTATTCATATTTAGAAGTATTAATGTTCAGGGGTGCCTGGGTGGCTCAGTCGGTTGTGTCTGACTCTTGGTTTCAGGCTCAGGTTGTGATCTCAGGGTTGTGAGGTGAGCCCTGAGTGAGACTCTGTGCTCAGTGTGGAGTCAACTTAAGATTTTTACTCCCTCTCTGTCTGTCCCTCCCAAGTTTCTCTCTCTCTCTCTCTAAAATAAATAAATAAATATTTTAAAAATTTAAAATAAAAGTATTAATTCAGATGGATTAATCTCATTAAACAAATAAAAGATAAACAGGCCTTAAAAAAATAACTAATGCTGGGAGCCTCGGTGGTTCAGTCAGTTAAGCAGTTGACTCTTAATTTCAGCTCAAGTCACGATCTCAGGATCCTGGGATCAAGCTCTATGCTAGGCTCCACGCTCAGCAGGGAGTCTGCTTAAGGATTCTCTCTTCCTTTCCCTTTGTCTCTCCCCCTGCTCATGCTTCATTCTCTCTCTCTTCCTCTCTAAAATAAATAACTTTAAAAAATATTAACATAAAAGTCATAACACAGACCCATGGGGATTTATGAGGGTAAACATATATACATATTAAATTCAATTTACTCAAAGATAATCCTACTAAATGCCTATAATTATTACGAGTAATTTATTGAGCTTATTAATTCTAAGATTTATCAGCCTCCTACTTCTGTTACGAATTTCAAGTTTCAAAGGATTTCACAAAACCAATTTGTTCATGCAAACCAAGGCTGTCACAGACATTTTTTTAAAAATATTTTATTTATTTATATTTGAGGGAGAGAGAAAGCACACACAAACTGGTGGGAGGGGCAAAGGGAGAGGGAGGAAGCCCCATGACGTTGGGTTCAATCCCAGGATCCCAGGATCATGACCTGAGCTGAAGGCAGACACTTAACCAACTGAGCCATCCAGGTATCCCTGTCACAGACATTTTATTTTTTTAAAGATTTTTATTTATTTATTCATAGAGACACACAGAGAGAGAGAGAGAGAGGCAGAGACACAGGCCGAGGAAGAAGCAGGCTCCACGCAGAGAGGCTGACATGGGACTCCATCCACGGTCTGCAGGATCATGCCCTGGGCTGCGGCGGCGATAAACCGCTGCGTCACCGGGGCTGCCCTGTCACAGATATTTTAAAAGTAGACTGGTATGCTACAAATGCTTTCAATGAAATATAATACTTTAGTAGCTTTGCTTGCTATAATGTTTTAGCTAGCAGTTATACATTTTTAAACACCTTACCTTTGAGAATCCAAGTTCCACAAGTAATCTGTCAGCTACAAACTCAATATACTGTTTCATCAAAACACAATTCATTCCAATGAGGCCAACTGGCAAGGCTTCCGTTAAAAACTCCTGAGATATGAACAAAAACAAAATAAAATACAGGGACAGAACAGAAATGCATATTTTCCAAATAAAAACAGGGTTTTAGTTTTTTAGTCTTCTAAGTCCCTGAGAAAAGTATACTAGGATAAATTCTTTCAACATGGCAATGTCCATTTGTTTGAAAATGTTTGGGGATATTACCATTCACAGTATTTCACATTCTCAAGTTGCCAAAGTAAGTTGAAACTAACAAATTACTGGTATTTTATACAATGGCATTATAGGACCTTAATTCATAGGCTTTCTCCATAGAAAAAAGGGGATACTTTGTTCTGAAATATCTGGAAAAATATTCACCAAAGATGAACATGATTATGGAAGGGAAAGAGTGAAACACAATTAACAAAGAAAATGAAAAAATAAAAGTGAATCAGAGGGTTGGGAGATAAACTGAACTCCAACTATATTGAAAGACAGTGGTAAAGTGTTAAGAGGGGAAAAATAAAAACATTAACTATCTGGATTTAGTTCTCAAAATGATTAAAATACCAAAATGCATTTTATGCATTTTCTCCTTCCCAACATGAAAACCATGGCTATCAAACTATATAGTATTTTTTAAAAAAAAGAGTTTAGATTTTTACATTCTATAAATTGTTTTACTACTCACTAATTCATTGATTTACTAATTCTATAAACATTTAATGCATGCTTCAAGCTAGGTATCTTGCTCGGTTTTGAAAATACAAAACAGGGATCCCTGGGTGGCGCAGCGGTTTAGCGCCTGCCTTTGGCCCAGGGCGCGATCCTGGAGACCCAGGATCGAATCCCACGTCGGGCTCCCGGTACATGGGGCCTGCTTCTCCCTCTGCCTGTGTCTCTGCCTCTCTCTCATTCTGTGTGACTATCATAAATAAATAAAAATTAAAAAAAAAAAGAAAATACAAAACAAACAAGAAACTGTCACTGCTCTTCAGTAGCTGAAAATCTAAAAGCAAGGAAGCAAACTAACATAATTATTTGCTGTGGCCGTAGAATGTGTCAGATCAATGAGACAGAAAAAAATCCTGAAATAGATTTTTGTATATATAAAACTCTTTAACATTTACTTACAAACAAAATCATAAACTGACATAATAATTGCAATGCATCATCTGTTGGTACTGTCAGATTGACTATATAAAATTGCTGATACTTGCTTTGACCTACAAGTGGCAATTTCCTATGAGTCAACCCCATACACTAATGGCATAAACATACGAGAAAAAGAGATGTGCTAATCATATATGCTTCCCTGCTTACCTGCTCAATTTCAACAGCATTAACAATGATCTCCCTGACTCTTTCTTCTGAAGGTTTATTTACTAAGTATTGAAATATCAGGCAAGCAAAGTCACAGTGAAGCCCCTAAAACAGAAGAAAAATACCATTGTTGAAGAATGTTTAATCACCTATTTTCACATCTGTCATGTGTCAGGCGTCATATAAAGAAGGCTCTAGGAATGCAACACAGAATTTCTGGAAGATAGAGGAGGGATTCATAGTACCAGGAACTACTTCCTTTCAAATCTCATTAAAATGCCAATTATAATAACCTATCATGAAAATTTTTCAGTGCCAGTAAATCTTAATTCGTCAATGTGAAAGATGAATTAATTAACAAGAAGAACAACAACTACAAATCTGCAACCAAAATCATTTTGGAGGGATCCCTGGGTGGCGCAGAGGTTTGGCGCCTGCCTTTGGCCCAGGGCGCGATCCTGGAGACCCGGGATCGAATCCCACGTCGGGCTCCCGGTGCGTGGAGCCTGCTTCTCCCTCTGCCTGTGTCTCTGCCTCTCTCTCTGTGTGACTATCATAAAAAAAAAAATAAAAAATAAAAAAAAAAAAATAAAAAAAAAATCATTTTGGAAAGGAGAACAAAGAGCTGAAATGAAAATTCATTCATTTCTAATGTCTAAAAAAACTAAGTGACTGAAAACGATGTGTTTAAAGAAAAGGTGAAACTGATTCAGAGATATCAAAAAGACAACATGTTTATTAAATAAGAATGACTCAAGATAAAAATAAATTCAGTGCAATGAAAATGAAAAGAATGAAGAACGCCATTGGAAGCTGTACAAAACAGAAATGACACTGCTGATAACCAAAGAAGAAAATAAACTTGTGACCTACCTGTAGAACAGAATGGTTACACAAATGCAAGAAATGGGTTAGAGCTTTACATAATTAGATCACAAAGCAAGAAGATCCAATCTACAATTACCAGGATTCTAAAACACAGAACAGACAGTATAAAGCTAAAAACAATAGAATTGCAAAGTCAAAACAAAGAAAGAGGACAGAGACAGAGGAAGATGATGCAGTGCCAAACAAAATTAAGCTAGAGACTATAAAATGAAGCAAGGCAGAGTCAATGAACATTTCTAAGCTACAAAGAAAAAAAAATTTTTTTTTGTAAGGGTGACAAAGATGAAAGAATGTGCACCTTACAGGTTTACAAATAAGAGTTTGCTTGGGTTTTTTCTAAATAAATCAACAAAAACCAAAGACAAATGAAAAGACAAGACTCAAATCAAAGGCTGTATTCCAAGGATTATTTACCTACTTATCATTCCCAGAAGAAGCATCAGAAAAAGAACCTTTTTGAACAGCTAATATTAAGCAGATTTGTTAGGCAAACGTTCTTCCCAGACTGGACTCAAGAGGATACTTCAGATTACCAAAGGCTGAATTTCAAATAAACCGTGAAAGCTGTTAAAGTGTTGATTAGAACTGACAGCGAGCCACATATTACAGAGTAAATCAGAGGTAGGCACTCACATTGCTAAATCAATAAGTGAATAAAATTAATTTTGAAGTTTAAAGCAAGTCCAATCAAAATCTCAATAGCAGGGATCCCTGGGTGGCGCAGTGGTTTGGCGCCTGCCTTTGGCCCAGGGCGCGATCCTGGAGACCCGGGATCGAATCCCACATCGGGCTCCCGATGCATGGAGCCTGCTTCTCCCTCTGCCTGTGTCTCTGCCTCTCTCTCTCTCTTTCTCTCTCTCTGTGACTATCATAAATAAATAAAATTAAAAAAAAATCTCAATAGCATTATTTTTAGTTAAAAGAATATGAGACTAGAACTTGATTATTTGAACAACTAAAAAGGAAGGATAGGGGATCCCTGGGTGGCGCAGTGGTTTGGCGCCTGCCTTTGGCCCAGGATGCGATCCTGGAGACCCGGGATCGAATCCCACATTGGGCTCCTGGTGCATGGAGCCTGCTTCTCCCTCTGCCTATGTCTCTGCCTCTCTCTCTCTCTGTGACTATCATAAATAAATAAAAATTTTAAAAAAAGGAAGGATAAATTAAGTAATGTGACAGAGGTGCCAATTATCACTACAATGGCAACCATATAACAAAATATAAATGTATAAAATTAACATGTTATATATCTTAAATTTGCCAAATATGTCTTTTTTTGTATGTATGTCAAATGTATTTCTTTTTGTTTGTTTTAATAATAAATTTATTTTTTATTGGTGTTCAATTTGCCAACATACAGAATACCACGCAGTGCTCAACCCGTCAAGTACCCCCCTCAGTGCCTGTCACCCATTCACCCCCACCTCCTGCCCTCTCCCCTTCCACCACTCCTAGTTCGTTTCCCAGAGTTAGGAGTCTTTATGTCCTGTCTCCCTTTCTGAAATTTCCTACCCATTTCTTCTCCCTTCCCTTCTATTCCCTTTCACTATTATTTATATTCCCCAAATGAATTAGAACATATAAAGTTTGTCCTTCTCCGACTTATTTCACTCAGCATAATACCCTCCAGTTCCATCCATGTTGAAGCAAATGGTGGGTATTTGTCGTTTCTAATGGCTGAGTAACATCCCATTGTATACATAGACCACAGCTTCTTTATCCATTCATCTTTCGATGGACCCCGAGGCTCCTTCCAGTTTGGCTATTGTGGACATGGCTGCTAGAAACATCGGGGTGCAGGTGTCCCAACATTTCATTGCATCTGTATCTTTGGGGTAAACCCCCAACAGTGCAATTGCTGGGTCGTAGGGCAGGTCTATTTTTAACTCTTTGAGGAACCTCCACACAGTTTTCCAGAGTGGCTGCACCAGTTCACATTCCCACCAACAGTGTAAGAGGGTTCCCTTTTCTCCACATCCTCTCCAATATTTGTGGTTTCCTGCCTTGTTAATTTTCCCCATTGTCACTGGTGTGAGGTGGTATCTCATTGTGGTTTTGATTTGTATTTCCCTGATGGCAAGTGATGCAGAGCATTTTCTCATGTGCGTGTTGGCCATGTCTGTGTCTTCCTCTGTGAGATTTCTGTTCATGTCTTTTGCCCATTTCATGATTGGATTGTTTGTTTCTTTGCTGTTGAGATTAATAAGTTCTTTACAGATCTTGGAAACTAGCCCTTTATCTGATACGTCATTTGCAAATATCTTCTCCCATTCTGTAGGTTGTCTTTTAGTTTTGTTGACTGTATCCTTTGCTGTGCAAAAGCTTCTTATCTTGATGAAGTCCCAATAGTTCATTTTTGCTTTTGTTTCTTTTGCTTTCGTGGATGTATCTTGCAAGAAGTTACTGTGGCCAAGTTCAAAAAGGGTGTTGCCTGTGTTCTCCTCTAGGATTTTGATGGAATCTTCTCTCACATTTAGATCTTTCATCCATTTTGAGTTTATCTTTGTGTCTGGTGCAAGAGAGTGGTCTAGTTTCATTCTTCTGCATGTGGATGTCCAATTTTCCCAGCACCATTTATTGAAGAGACTGTCTTTCTTCCATTCTTCCAGTGGATAGTCTTTCCTCCTTTATCGAATATTAGTTGACCATAAAGTTCAGGGTCCACTTCTGGGTTCTCTATTCTGTTCCATTGATCTATGTGTCTGTTTTTGTGCCAGTACCACACTGTCTTGATGACCACAGCTTTGTAGTACAACCTGAAATCTGGCATTATGATGCCCTCAGCTATGGTTTTCTTTTTTAAAATTCCCCTGGCTATTCGGGGTCTTTTCTGATTCCACACAAATCTTAAAATAATTTGTTCTAAGTCTCTGAAGAAAGTCCATGGTATTTTGATAGGGATTGCATTAAACGTGTAAATCGCCCTGGGTAACACTGACATTTTCACAATATTAACTCTGCCAATCCATGAGCATGGAATATTTTTCCATCTCTTTGTGTCTTCCTCAATTTCTTTCAGAAGTGTTCTATAGCTTTTAGGGTATAGATCTTTTACCTCTTTGGTTAGGTTTATTACTAGGTATCTTATGCTTTTGGTGCAATTGTAAATGGGATTGACTCCTTGATTTCTCTTTCTTCAGTCTACTGTTAGTGTATAGAAATGCCATTGATTTCTGGGCATTGATTTTGTATCCTGCCACAATGCCAAACTGCTGTATGAGTTCTAGCAATCTTGGGGTGGAGGCTTTTGGGTTTTCTATGTAGAGTATCATGTCATTGGCGAAGAGGGAGAGTTTGACTTCTTCTTTGCCAATTCGAGTGCCTTTAATGTCTTTTTGTTGTCTGATTGCTGAGGCTAGGACTTCCAATACTATGTTGAATAGCAGTGGTGAGAGTGGACATCCCTGTCTTGTTCCTGATCTTAGGGGAAAGGTTCCCAGTGCTTCCCCATTGAGAATGATATTTGCTGTGGGCTTTTCATAGATGGCTTTTAAGATGTTGAGGAAAGTTCCCTCTATCCCTACACTCTGAAGAGTTTTGATCAGGAATGGATGCTGTATTTTGTCAAATGCTTTCTCTGCATCTAATAAGAGGATCATTTGGTTCTTGGTTTTTCTCTTGCTGATATGATGAATCAAATTGATTGTTTTACGAGTGTTGAACCAGCCTTGTATCCCGGGGATAAATCCTACTTGGTCATGGAGCATAATTTTCTTAATGTACTCTTGGATCCTACTGGCTAGTATCTTGTTGAGAATTTTTGTGTCCATGTTCATCAGGGATATTGGTCTGTAATTCTCCTTTTTGGTGGGGACTTTGTCTGGTTTTGTAATTAAGGTGATGCTGCCCTCATGAACGGATTTGGAAGTACTCCATCTCTTTCTATCTTTCCAAACAGCTTTAGTAGAATAGGTATTGTTTCTTCTTTAAACGTCTGATAGAATTCCCCTGGGAAGCCATCTGGCCCTGGAATCTGGTGTCTTGGGAGGTTTTTGATGACTGCTTCAATTTCCTCCCTGGTTATTGGCCTGTTCAGGTTTTCTATTTCTTCCTGTTCCAGTTTTGGTAGTTTGTGGCTTTCCAGGAATGCGTCCATTTCTTCTAGATTGCCTAATTTATTGGCGTAGAACTGTTCATAATATGTTTTTAAAATTATTTGTATTTCCTTGGTGTTGGTAGTGATCTCTCCTTTCTCATTCATGATTTTATTAATTTGA